GACTTCTACATCCACAGAGCAAAGTCCTTATTCAGAAACTGATAGTCGCTCAGTTAGTAAAAGAAATCGAGTAATTTGTGGAAAAGAAGGTTCCTTGTCGTATTCTTAAGATTTTATTATGAACCAGTTCTATTTTAATATTGTGCTCATTTATGCTTACGTTTTCGAACCGATCTTTCGGCTTCTGATAATTCGACTAAAATTCTGTATGCATTTCTGATCTCCCCATTCATGTTACACGTTCTGACCATACTTTCCCTGATTTGCTCACTCTATAATATTATGCGGAAGCAGGCAAACACATTACGAAGCTCCTCATAGAATTTTATCTTTCTCCTGTCTCATCTTCTATCTCAGATCCAAATATTCCCCTCAGATTCCTGGAACGGTAGGACTGTTCTATTCGACCAGACCGGCTATGGGGCCCATCCAGCCGGGTATCGGGAGATTCTTTTATCGGAGGTCAAGCGATTGAGGTATGAATCTGAATGCTCACCTCCTTTCAGTGCCGCCGAATGCGTGGAGCTATACCTCCACTAGTCCACACGTCTGCATGACGTGGTGCTTAGTTAACCACTGTGGACGGCATTTTTACCTTTGTGAGACTTGAGGTTCTGACGGCGGTGAATATGAAGATTACTCTCTTCTGGGTTGTTGTGTAGTCTAATAGAAGTTCTTCGAATTTTTTCATGTTTACCCTTTTCTCAAATATGATCTACAGTACCTGTCCTTCCCTTAGGATGACAAGCCAAATTTGACACCCATACAAACCTTAAACTACGGTAACAGCAAAAGGTAAAGTCGTCTCTTTGCCTAAGCACCACGCCAGAAAGACAGAGGAGGATCAGGGGCAAAGCTCCGCGCATTATTAGCTTCGACACTTCATGGAAGTGGTCAGCTTCACGCTCCGCTTCTTTGCCTCCAGAGAAATGCCAACAGATCCGGAGTGGCCAAAGAGAAAATTATTTTCCTTATCGGAAATTAAACCTCGCCAGTTCAGTCACGCCGGTCATAGGTGGTCGGGTATTATGGGCAAATCGCTACAGTTGGGCCACTTACGAATAGGCCTATGTAGCTGTATTTTCTCGGATTATGATTTCTTTCAGCTGTTATTCATGGCCATATGTTTAAAACAGGAAGCCAGCTGGCGAATAATATTGATTAACCTGATCAAATTGATAGCTGGTTGACGCTGTTTGAGGAAATTATTCCTGTTTACAGCGACAATCATACGAAACCTGTTTCCAAAACATGGGAGAACCCATACAGTTATGGCAAGGTCGGATATTTAGTTTGGCGCGAGACGCCCATCACAATCAAACGTCATCATCAGTGAGCGTGCAGGCTCTGACGATGAGACAGGCAAGCAGACAACTAGCCGCAGCGGATATCTGGTAAATCCAAGGAGGATATCCACATTACAATGACATAGCATGCATGATACAGCCGAGCCTGGAAAGAAGTACGAAGTCCACGGATGACGTCAGATCATTTGACTCATGTGACGTACACTCCAGCGTGCATCACTGACAGAAAGTGTTTAGCAAATCAAAGTTCTGAAAATAAAATGCTGAATCTTACATGAATCTGACAGCCCAATGGAAAAATTCTGTATTTAGCTTCACTCGGTCATGGATTTGTAAACTGTTTCTAAATAAGCAATCAGATAGATAACAGTAAGAATGACAGTTACGTTGTAAAAGTACAATGTAAGCAGGAACACAATGGACTTCGTACATACCTTATTCGATTTGTTACGGTTTCAGTAGAAGTCTATTCAGTAGCAGAATTCTAAACTTTGGAATTATATATACACTTGGAGGTGGTAAATCATAACACTGAATACGATCGATTATACTATATGAAACAAAATATCCCGATCACGAGACGTAGTCTTTAATTCAAACACGGGTACTCATTCTCTGCTATTTAAATACTCTTATACTGAATACTTCTTGTCTTTCATCCTCCTCCTCCTCTAGAATCCTCTAATCCTCCTACGCACTAACTTGAGTAAGAAATTAAAGGCATATTGGGTTTGAGACTTTCGCGGCGAGTACAATAAATAAAATCTTCTCGAGCAATCAGCCGCGTTTACTGGTTACCGTAGTAAACCGACGTTTCGGGAACCAACTCTGTCCCCATCATCGGGGTTCTGATGTTACTGGATACCTCGGAAGTCGCCTGTGTCCCGAAACGTCGGTTTACTACGGTAACCAGTTAACGCGGCTGATTGCCCGAAAAGATTTTATTGGATTAAATTAAACACATATTTATCATAAGTTACGTTTTAGCAAAAGTCGTATTTTAATTTTCGGTGTATCGCCCTGTCTTGCAATTCATTTGGACCAACTTAATGTTTTCGGTTGGTATTTAAACCATTGTCGCGCCACTACTTTCCATAACATGCTCATTCCAAAACGCAGTTTCATTAATGTTGAGTGCTTGGTCGTCCCGGATGCGTTGATCGACTTGCCCCTTCACCTAAAGACTTGTTACAGTCGATGGCCACCCAGAACAAACACCATCAAAACTTGTCCGTCCTCTACTGAGTCTTTTCACACATTCGTAAATTTTAAACCGCATCTTCCAGTTAAAGCCACACTGAAACTGTATTCTTCTTTAATCACAAAAGTCGGAGAGATAGTTGTTTTTCTTTGGTAGATTCTATCAATGGAGCTATAGTGCAAAGCATGTCATAATATAAACACCGCTCAAATAGTTAAGTATAAATGAGAGAAGATCCAGCCAGGTCATAGACCTAATGGTTAACAATCTATTCCAGTACCACCAATATCACATTTAGATCATGAGATTTCAGGTTCTCACAGCGGCAAGTTTGAAGATTGGTGTCTTATGGGACGTTGCACCGTGTAGTCTCGTTGAAATTTACCCACGTTTCAGATATGCTTACTGTCCCATCATCATATCGCCCTGATGGAGACAGTATGCACCTGAAACGTCGGTCAATTTCTGTGAGACTTCACGGCGCAACATCCCACAAGACAATTAATTTTCACTTTCGAATCAACTAAAATTACCTTTGTTTTCCATCTTTGGCTTAGAACCTCTTTGTTATTTTAGGAGTCCTGCCTTCCCGCAGTCTGTCTGGAGTCTAACCGATAGCTTTGTATGTTATCATTTACGCTTGCAGTCTTCCTTATTTCGATGCGTAATCTAGTATTTTTTTAGTCGTCTCTGGTCAATACCTGACCGTCGTGACCCCTTTCGGGGCGCTTATACGAAAGTACCACGGTGGGTTCGCACTTCCTTCCGTGGCCAGTCTTTACTTACCAGACTGGAAGAGGAGACGCGGACAATCATCCATGCCTTGAGTGGGACTCGAACCCACGGTCGCAGCGGCCAGGCGCACGAGGACTATGCCTCAGACCGCGTGGCTACTGCGTCCGGCTAATCTAGTATATCGTGAACTAAAAATCTACAAAATCTCGTCATTTTTTTATTTCCAAAACACAAACTCCAATTGGATGTAGCGGGCCAATTGTGTAGCCTCAGTTAAACATCTCACCTTCACCTAAAATTTGGTCAGAAAATCACAAGGAAATAACTTATTTCGGAGAAGATAATATTAAAATGGATCTTACGGACAGACTTTGAATATATTAAATGTATTAAAATGGCTCGGAGCAGAGTCTTATGTTGGGCGATAAAGGAGGCAGTAAGAACCTCTAAAATTTTAAGTTTCTACCAGACTACACGGCGGAACATCCTTGATAAGTTTAGACCTTGGGGTCCCATAACAGTGATTTTTCTTTTTTGATTAGCGTAATAACCATCAACTACTCAAACAGAACACTTTAGGCAGTTACCTAGTTATACCTAACATTTAAAGGGTTTGACTTTCACATTCAAAGAGGCCAATTGAAGGTCAAATAAAAAAATCACTTGTTTGAAGTGCGTTTCGTAACTATGCGTTAGTGAGTATTTGTATCTGCCTCGCCAGAAACGCGTGGAAAGAAAGTTATGGATAAACAGATCTTGGCGAAATTGGTTGCTGTGAAACTTTATAAAAATTAAACTGAACTTAAACAGGATAACACCTAAGTTACACGCTTGCCTAAATATATTTGTATTATCCATAAATATTGTGTATGTCAAAGAACGTTTAGATTAAAGTTGTAACTCTTAAGAGAACATGTCAAATAAGCAACCATTTTGCATGTCGAAAAATAGGGCTTAGTGAGGCCCTCACATCGAAGTAGGCCTCCGGAAAATTAAAAGATTTCTTTAAAATACAGGTGAGTCAGAAGTATGTTTACAAACTTCGTGTGCGTGTTCCAGGATCAAAAATAGGAAAAAATGTTCCTATGAACACGGGGTCACAAATGTTTCATTTTCGAAATAATAGCCAAACATAATTTTCAAGGTATGCCTTTATTGCCAAGTATAAGGACAGGGATATTTTCTTTATAACATGCTCAAAGGTTGTTCCTCCATTCTCCACACATGCACGAGTACGACGAATTCGTTGGTACACACCAGGGTTTCCTCGAATCATCTGGCATGCTTTCTGCACACGTTCCCATAGGTCGTCATCATTGTTTATGGGTGTTGCATAAACGACGGACCCCACAGATAAAAGTCCAATGGAGTCAGGTCCGGTGACCTCGGTGGCCATGCTACTGGGCCACCACGCCCAATCCATCGCTGAGGGTACCGTTCATTGAGATGGTATCTGACGCGATGGGAGAAGTGTGCTGGGGCTCTGTCATGCATAAACCACATTTGTCTTCTTGTATTCAGTGGTGTATCTTCAAGGAGACGTGGCAAGTGTCTCCTTAAGAATCACCAATACGAAGGTTTTGTTAGACGCGATGGAAGCATGTGTGGACCAATAAGCATGTCGCCAACAATTCCTGCCCAAACGTTAATTGAAAATCTTTGCTGGAAGCTGGATTCACTTTGATATAAAGTCAATTCACTGAAACTTATTTTTGACTATTATTTCGAAAATGAAACATTTGCGACCCCATGTTCATAGGAATATTTTTTATTATTTTTGATCCTGGAACACGCACAAGAAGTTTGTAAACATACTTCTGACTCACCCTGTATATTGAAATAATACAATTTCTATGCAAGTCTATTTCTTTTTTTATAAGAATGCAAAGTTAATTTAAGTTGTGATGTAAAATTATGCTTAAAATTAATTAAAGTGGATAAAAACACATTCTAATACAAATGTAACAAAAATGTGAAAATCTATTTATGAGCTCAAAGATGTAGACGAAGTAAAAGTTTAGCTTAGCCCAAAAGTAAACTGCAAGCCTATCACATCGTGCCATTTGATAAGTCTCATTCGGGCAGGCTGGTGTAGCGGTAACTCCGTAGATTTGTATTCAGAAAGCATATGGTCTAAATTTCAGTCACGTTATCGGCAATCCAGATATTGTGGTTTTCCCAGTGTCTCCGGACAAATGCCGAAAAAGTGTCCTGAAACTTGCTTTCTGACAAATGCTGAGATGGTACGTTTAAAGAAGTCAAGACTGTTTCCTTCACAGTTCATTAAGTCATTCCTCCAACCAATGCAGCTTAAAATTGGTGATGATCTTCTACTGGGTTTTGGCGAAGTGTAGACTTGTCGGTTTCAGCCCCGAAGATGGAGACAGGATGTTCCTCCTAAACGCTGGCATCCTCCGATGAGTCAACACAGCTTAAAAACCCAGAAGAACAGCGTCATTATCCTCAGGGCCGTGAAAACTTCAAATCTCACACAGTTTGGAATTGTCTTTAATAAACTGGAAAAAAACAACCAAACCTCTCGGGTTCGCATTTCATCTCTTATGACTATTGGTTTCCTCTGCTTCTTCAGGATAATGCTAACTTTGTTCTAAATAGGCCACGACCGCCGAAGTTCTCATCCCAGGCAAGTCCCTTCCAATACACGCTGCCCTCATTAACACAATATAATCGTTCAAGACCGAAGAAAATAGGAAAAGGCAAATGCGTTGGAAGTGATTTCTTAAACAACAAGAATCTGGTAGCGACATAAAATTGTTAAAGTTATTCTCTCGTTTTCCTTTTTCACCTTCCCAAGCCTGTGGTATACACTTGTGGCCAAAATGCAATTAAAATACTGATGAGAAATATGCAACGATGTGACTCGTAAAATTGTGAATTCTAGTCTGAAAGGAATAAGATTTTAAACTGTAACAGCATAGAACAGACTTATTAGTCGGTCTAAATCCTGTCACTTGATCTCGTATCTATGACCTGGTGAATCCCGAAGCACTCATCTTTTTTTCTGAATAATGATGCAACGGCTATAAATGTCGGAAGAATCTCGTATCGATTGAGGAGAAGAGGTGATGTTGCATCAATCACAAATTGATTTGTTTCCACTTCCACAACTGTGTTCGAACACGGGATCATGGCCTCTATGGAGTTTGGACTCGACTCACGACCCTAGCTCGTGATATATCCTCAATACTGCCATCTTTTTCTACTCCGGGCAAGTATTCCTACCATCCGGGTCAACTTGATAAGTCTAATCTCAAAACGTAATGGCCACGTGAAGAGTTACAAGCAGTCTTAGCTTCGTGTTAATCGTCAGACACTGACTGACTGTTTTAATGTTGATCGGGAATCTTCATCTGTTCCTCGTGAGTAGGCCGATTACGTCCATGTAAGCGATTCATATCCAGTCCCGGATTGAGATTAGAACCCGGGACTTCCCGAATACGAAGCAACAGTCATAAAATATTCGAGTGTGAATTTCGGTTTAACTACAGAAACATCGAATGAATTTGCATGTACCATATTTCAGACTGCAACGTTGATTTTCATCCTGATAACGCAGACTCATTGCAAAATAAGAATTTAAAGCGAATGATACTTCCGCCATACGATAACAGTTGCTGGGCTGTTTATTTCCAGGTAGTTGCTATGTGTAAGGAGACGCTCCTACAAGCTAAACGTGCTCTGTAGCATAAAACCGGCAATAACTACTGTTCTTTGTGGGTGAGTACTCCGTATCCTGAAAGTGTCTTTCCGTATGTCACAACAACGTGTTCTAAAATTCCTGAACTCCTAAGATGACTGTCTTCTGGGCTGTAGCGCCGTGTAGACTACGCTACAATATAGAAGACAGCCATTTTCGTATTCACCGCCATGAGAATCTCAAATGCTCCCTAAACTCTTGTGCTATTTTTCGCCCCACGCGAAGACAGTTGCTGTTTATGCTGTATCTGAGCAAAATTAGCATAATAAATATATAATGTCGTCTCCATATGTCCACATGTTTCACTTCCAGAACTATTGAACGGATTTTGACGAAGCTACATGTTTGGTGGTTTACGGTAAACATGCTAAAATTTACGTACAGGTGACGAACTGAATTGTATTCTCGGGTTTCTCCTTCATTCACAGTCGAGATGGAGATGAGCGTAGTTTATAGACGTGAAAGGTTGAAAATACTCGTACACCAAAGCTTTACACATTTTCAGATTATGATAAAGTATGCTGTGAAGCTAATAATATGACGTGAAATTTTCTGCAAATCAGTTCAATTTGCATTCTCGGTCGAAGAAAAATCTGCAAAATGCGAGTGCAGCAAGCAAGCATTAGTTAGATATTTGTGGCGTCGCAAATCTTTGTGTTTTCGGAAACTGTTGACAGATCGAGAGGTGCAGTTATTGGTGTTACAAAATACCAAATATATTCATACCAGAGAGATCGCCGTTTTCAGGCGAGATATTTCGTGTATAGCAAGGAAAGGTTTAAAAGTAACAGTGGTTCACTTACCAGGATTACTTTGAAAATCATCAGGTCCTCGACATGCAGACAGATGTAAGATGGAAATCTGACACATCAAATACATTTCAGATGGAAAACGGTCGTGGTGTTACTGTTCGCGGTATTTAAAATTTGACGAGATGTTCTCAGTTGTCGACAGCTTCTACTTGTAGCACTTCTCGTCTTGAACACTTGCCCCTTAGTATACCTGAAAGAACATAAATGGAAATATGCATTCTTTAAGTAGAATTTAAAAACGTGCTGTCGTTTACGCATAGTGCCTGTACGTATGTGCAACGTGTTGTAAAACGAGCCGATATGAACTACATGGTAGGGCGGCAGGAGGAGGTTGGTCAATGCTTTGGATGGAGAAAATATAAGTGTTTTTATTGTTAGTCTGTAAAATAGTCCATAAATTTATTAAAGATGAATGAAACATGCGTAAATATGCGTATAATATAATTTCCATAAAAATGTGTCAGACGCCTCTGAATAAATCAATTAGGTGTTTAGGTGAAGCGACACTTAAATTTAATCAAAGTGAAAAGGATTTTCTCATTCAATTACTGTGCATCAAGCTTTCTCAAAGCCTGTAAAACTACTCACATACACAAACAGTCTAAATGGTCATTTGTGACCTAAAGTAAAGAGACCCTTAAAATTATGGTTTTCGAAAACATTCTTCGATACGCACCAAAACCAAATACTTATAAAACATTAACAACAAACGAAGAAAAAACCCGCAGAAAACACTACAAATAGACAACGTAAGGGACTTTACTGACTGCAGGTTGGGACGCGTTGTAATACTTCGTCAAGCGCTAGAGGGGAGGTAATTCAACATCCCTCTCTTTCATTTCAACAGCTGTAGCCAATGCAGCGACCTACGACCTGTTTATATGATGTTTCACAAATACCGTCCAGTTTAAGAACAAACTACAAGTTATAAGACGATAATCAACTAAAATGAAATAATGGAATCAGGGGAAAACAATAAAAGACAACTCTAATTGTGAAAATTTGCCTTAAAACAACATAAAGACACAAAGAAATTCGCAAGACATGCAGTACATGTGGGAAAATAGAAAGGCGTTCAAAATGTTATTCCGAAAACATCAAGGGAAGAGAAGTCTTGAAATAGATGTCGTTGTGATGGCAAAATCAAACCGATGAATTCGACTGCCTCATGATAGAAATATAATGACAGTTCTATGTATACGGTGATTAACGTTGAAGAACAGCGAATTGTGCGTGCCACGTAGCCGAATGACCGACAAAATGGCAGTAACTACAGCGTCAGTTGATAAATACATACGGGAGGCAGGGCATGAAGATTCCTTTAAAAATTGTTAATAAGTCTCATATATTTCCCTAGAATGTAAACAAAATGTATGCCTGTACAGGTCTATATGTTCGTGTGTACACACACACACATACAAACCGGTTTATGTAAATACACTTGACAAGGCCAAATTTCAATTCAAGCAGACTTAGTGATAACAATCATAAGTTGCACTGAACTCCATTATCTATTCATTAAGAAAGAGAACTATTAATGATAAACAATAAACCACTTTCATATTCGTCTTCTGGGTTGTAGTGCCGCGTAGTCTGGTAGAAGTTTACCGACGATTCAAAGGTGCTTGCTGCCTCCATCAGCAGGGCACCCTAATAATGGAGGCAGCAAGACCCTCTGAATCGTCGGTAAACTTCTACCAGACTATACGGCAGTACAACCCAGAAGACAGCCATCTTCGTACTCACCGCTGTGAGAACTTCAAATAATACAAGAAGACAGCCACCTTCATCATTAAAGACATCATCATCATCATCATTATCATCTTCATCATAAACTTTAAACACAGAAGGTCCGTCAGGAGTTAATAAGGAGGGTAGTCTACGCATCGATGCAGTGAGAGCCAGGTAACTTATATGTTCATGTCTCGTCACTAGAATGCAGGGAACATCACATTTAGACACGATCTGTGGGCAGCTAGCCTCCTACACAACGGATAAAGGGTTTTTCCTCCGATCAGAGCGTGAAGCTGACCACCACATTCATGTGGAATCGAGGTTCCCCTAAACCTCTACATGGCACGGTGTTTGATTAAGTACACGGACAATTTTACCTCTAGCTTATATTCAGATGGAGGTAGCAGGAAACCTCGTTCTTCCTCTTCGCTGAAAGGACCATCAGGTTGACTCGACTCCAAGTCCCTGACTTCAATTTTAATCTTCATTAACATGAACAGTGTTTTTCGTTGCTTTTGCCCAGTTATTCTCAGATGAATATCGGAATAATACATTGGATTAGATAACTGGTCCATCGTTTCTAGTTCGCTATTCATAATCACTCTTTCATCTCATCCTAATAAATTATACTAATACAGTACACAGGCTGGCTGCGAGGTCGATGACCAGGGTACCATTCAAGACACGGGCAGGTAATTTTTTTCATAACTCAGTCCACTCACTACCAGATAAGAGGTACAGAATTCTTGGAACTTGTCTACCTCGTCTGATTATCCTGTTCTGAATTTCCTCCGTAATTGATATGTTGTTAATTCACGGAGATCATTTACCATGTTGAGGGATGGACAAAGGGTCCGTTAGAGGCCCACTTTCACAGAGACAGTCTCACCCCATCGCCACAATACCAGAAACACAGAGCAAGTAATGTCTTAAGACATCGCATACGAGTGTAGGGGGGAGAGACTTTACTTCGTTTTCGACTGAAGACGTCCAAGGGTCAGAAAGATAAAACACGTTGATAACTCGTAACAGACAACAAATCAGACTGCATTTTAAAATAAGACTAGTGTCTTATTATGAGACCAGACAGAAACTTCTGTTTCTATCTCGTTTTCTGTATTATGACGTAGTCTGGAGCCGGGCATAAACACAGCGACATCAAGTCCGTGTACACTTTACCAGCCACAAGGACACGCATACGTAATTATAAATTTATTAAGTAACTTTACGGGATTGCGTTTGCAAGAATGACGTAGTTATCTGGTGTGAAGTTGGATGAGGATGGTGACGATGCTGATGCTGTTGCTGGACGCGGTAGACTTTAGACGCAACGAGAGTTTGACGCAGAGCGCAACCTACCGACACACTGCGGAAGCATCTCTGGAGTACAACCGCCTTTTGTGGTCTAAATTAGAAGCCATAAACCCAGTAAACTACTGGCGCGCCCTTCTGAAATCGGTGGCCATGCTACTGGGCCACCACGCCCAATCCATCGCTGAGGGTACCGTTCATTGAGATGATATCTGACGCGATGGGAGAAGTGTGCTGGGGCTCTGTCATGCATAAACCACATTTGTCTTCTTGTATTCAGTGGTGCATCTTCAAGGAGACGTGGCAAGTGTCTCCTTAAGAATCACCAATACGAAGGTCCTGTTAGACGCGATGGTGTGGACCAATAAGCATGTCGCCAACAATTCCTGCCCAAACGTTAATTGAAAATCTTTGCTGGAAGCTGGATTCACTTTGATATAAAGTCAATTCACTGAAACTTATTTTTGACTATTATTTCGAAAATGAAACATTTGCGACCCCATGTTCATAGGAATATTTTTTATTATTTTTGATCCTGGAACACGCACAAGAAGTTTGTAAACATACTTCTGACTCACCCTGTATATTGAAATAATACAATTTCTATGCAAGTCTATTTCTTTTTTTATAAGAATGCAAAGTTAATTTAAGTTGTGATGTAAAATTATGCTTAAAATTAATTAAAGTGGATAAAAACACATTCTAATACAAATGTAACAAAAATGTGAAAATCTATTTATGAGCTCAAAGATGTAGACGAAGTAAAAGTTTAGCTTAGCCCAAAAGTAAACTGCAAGCCTATCACATCGTGCCATTTGATAAGTCTCATTCGGGCAGGCTGGTGTAGCGGTAACTCCGTAGATTTGTATTCAGAAAGCATATGGTCTAAATTTCAGTCACGTTATCGGCAATCCAGATATTGTGGTTTTCCCAGTGTCTCCGGACAAATGCCGAAAAAGTGTCCTGAAACTTGCTTTCTGACAAATGCTGAGATGGTACGTTTAAAGAAGTCAAGACTGTTTCCTTCACAGTTCATTAAGTCATTCCTCCAACCAATGCAGCTTAAAATTGGTGATGATCTTCTACTGGGTTTTGGCGAAGTGTAGACTTGTCGGTTTCAGCCCCGAAGATGGAGACAGGATGTTCCTCCTAAACGCTGGCATCCTCCGATGAGTCAACACAGCTTAAAAACCCAGAAGAACAGCGTCATTATCCTCAGGGCCGTGAAAACTTCAAATCTCACACAGTTTGGAATTGTCTTTAATAAACTGGAAAAAAACAACCAAACCTCTCGGGTTCGCATTTCATCTCTTATGACTATTGGTTTCCTCTGCTTCTTCAGGATAATGCTAACTTTGTTCTAAATAGGCCACGACCGCCGAAGTTCTCATCCCAGGCAAGTCCCTTCCAATACACGCTGCCCTCATTAACACAATATAATCGTTCAAGACCGAAGAAAATAGGAAAAGGCAAATGCGTTGGAAGTGATTTCTTAAACAACAAGAATCTGGTAGCGACATAAAATTGTTAAAGTTATTCTCTCGTTTTCCTTTTTCACCTTCCCAAGCCTGTGGTATACACTTGTGGCCAAAATGCAATTAAAATACTGATGAGAAATATGCAACGATGTGACTCGTAAAATTGTGAATTCTAGTCTGAAAGGAATAAGATTTTAAACTGTAACAGCATAGAACAGACTTATTAGTCGGTCTAAATCCTGTCACTTGATCTCGTATCTATGACCTGGTGAATCCCGAAGCACTCATCTTTTTTTCTGAATAATGATGCAACGGCTATAAATGTCGGAAGAATCTCGTATCGATTGAGGAGAAGAGGTGATGTTGCATCAATCACAAATTGATTTGTTTCCACTTCCACAACTGTGTTCGAACACGGGATCATGGCCTCTATGGAGTTTGGACTCGACTCACGACCCTAGCTCGTGATATATCCTCAATACTGCCATCTTTTTCTACTCCGGGCAAGTATTCCTACCATCCGGGTCAACTTGATAAGTCTAATCTCAAAACGTAATGGCCACGTGAAGAGTTACAAGCAGTCTTAGCTTCGTGTTAATCGTCAGACACTGACTGACTGTTTTAATGTTGATCGGGAATCTTCATCTGTTCCTCGTGAGTAGGCCGATTACGTCCATGTAAGCGATTCATATCCAGTCCCGGATTGAGATTAGAACCCGGGACTTCCCGAATACGAAGCAACAGTCATAAAATATTCGAGTGTGAATTTCGGTTTAACTACAGAAACATCGAATGAATTTGCATGTACCATATTTCAGACTGCAACGTTGATTTTCATCCTGATAACGCAGACTCATTGCAAAATAAGAATTTAAAGCGAATGATACTTCCGCCATACGATAACAGTTGCTGGGCTGTTTATTTCCAGGTAGTTGCTATGTGTAAGGAGACGCTCCTACAAGCTAAACGTGCTCTGTAGCATAAAACCGGCAATAACTACTGTTCTTTGTGGGTGAGTACTCCGTATCCTGAAAGTGTCTTTCCGTATGTCACAACAACGTGTTCTAAAATTCCTGAACTCCTAAGATGACTGTCTTCTGGGCTGTAGCGCCGTGTAGACTACGCTACAATATAGAAGACAGCCATTTTCGTATTCACCGCCATGAGAATCTCAAATGCTCCCTAAACTCTTGTGCTATTTTTCGCCCCACGCGAAGACAGTTGCTGTTTATGCTGTATCTGAGCAAAATTAGCATAATAAATATATAATGTCGTCTCCATATGTCCACATGTTTCACTTCCAGAACTATTGAACGGATTTTGACGAAGCTACATGTTTGGTGGTTTACGGTAAACATGCTAAAATTTACGTACAGGTGACGAACTGAATTGTATTCTCGGGTTTCTCCTTCATTCACAGTCGAGATGGAGATGAGCGTAGTTTATAGACGTGAAAGGTTGAAAATACTCGTACACCAAAGCTTTACACATTTTCAGATTATGATAAAGTATGCTGTGAAGCTAATAATATGACGTGAAATTTTCTGCAAATCAGTTCAATTTGCATTCTCGGTCGAAGA